ACTTGATAATTTGGTCCCATACCAGATGGGGGTATGGGGACAGCCGCTTCACCTCATACCGGACGGGGTATTGAGATTTGGTAAATTGACGCTCATATTGGACGGAGTATGGGGACGACCCATAATTGAGAATAATAAATGAAAGGGTTCACGTGTAGCAGGGGCATCCCTATGAACCCCTATGGATACCAGTAAGTTGGTGAAAAGAGTGGTAGTTATTCTTAGGTTTATTGATAATGGATATGGATTTATAATGATGGCTGATTATACATGAAATATTGGTATGTATGATATTATTGTTCTTACAGGTTGTTTCATAAATTTCACTATGGTAAGTGAACGGTAAATGATTTTATTTTTAATAATAAATGTATTGGTTTAAATTTAGTACTCCATTAGTGGTTTTCGATTTTATACCAACATTTACTTCTGTGTCAGTGATATAGTGTGATATCCTTACTGGGTTAGTGTAGCTCATCCTTTATTTAACCATTTCAGATCAAGAGGAATAGGTTCTAGAGCCCGATCCGTAAGAAGATTGCGAATAGATGCTAGATATTTTCTATTTTCCATTTGTTTCCTTATTTGTTGTATTTCTTTTAAAGAATGAATTTTGTAATGCTGTTTAGTATTTTTTGAGTTATTGTATAATGAATGTAAATCTTAATCTTTTATTTTGCTTCCGCACTTAAATTACTATCTATTTTCTTTTGGATTTCCTGGGTCGTTACATTTTTAATTAATTAACATATCGTTCTTCTGTGATTCTTTCCTTATCATGTTCAATTTGAATATTTATAATAGTCAGCTTTAAAATTATAGGGAAAAACATGAAAAGAAAAGAACTAAATATTATAGTAATATAATGTTAGGTCAATTACTTTATTATGAACTCAGTTATTTTTCAAAAGTTAAAAATTAATTTACAGATACAGAAGATCTGATATCTTGGTTTTGCAAAATCAGTTATAAACATGTCATTAAATATGAAATCTAATTTCATGATTTAAAAGTTCATCAAGACTTTGTTTAAGTAGTGAAAAAGATACAATCAAAAAAATCATCTAAAATGTGGTGTATATTACTACAAATAATATATTTACATTACAAATATTTGTTCTTTTTATAACCTCTGGAGATGGGTTGTAACCTTCAAACCTCTATCCTCTCGGTAGAAAGAGAGAGTGAGAGACCTTAGTCGATCCATCAAAAATGACTTGTTCATGTTACAAATATTTATTTTGAAAAGTTAATAAGTTGTTGCGTGTATTATCTTTTTCATTTTATTTGAAATCTCAATAATCTTTAATGCTGTTTATAACACATTAATATCTTTAAACCGCAATCTATATGATATATTCATTGTTATCATTTACTTCAATAGTTTTAAACTATTTAAATATTTGATTGTTTAAAAATATAACTAATTACTGATGAATAAATTTATATTATGAATTATTATGTGAGTAGAAAAAAATATTAAGTGAAAGAGGAGTTAGTTTTGTTGATAACTGGAGAATCAGTTGACATAGATAAACTAATTTTATACGTACACAATATCATTTTAAAGGTTAAAATAGATAAGAAATTACGTACTTATCTGTGTGATAGAGCTTTAATGGTGCGGTGAGGAAGTGTCCCCATGTGATGAAGGTTTCCTGCAACAGGAAATATTGCAAGGGACAAGAAAATCAAAGAAAGGCAAAAAAGCTTCATCCAACATTAATGCTGGTTTTATTGGAGTTTTACCCTTTAACAAGAGAAACAAAAGTATTAGTATGTCCAAATAACTAAACAAGCTCTTATTAGATCTTACAAATATGACCACCTCATTTAGGTTTAGGTTTATATTGAAAAGTTAATAGAAACAAATTTGAATATAGATTAATTATATTTTTAGTCTAATGATTTATGTATATTCTTTGAACATTTATAACTATTCTATACGATTAGATATATTTTTAATTAATTAATGATAAAATATCTTGATACTTGACTAAATCTTTTTCGTGTTATAGATGTTCATTTATTTTTGCACGTTTAATTTTTTAGGTCAAACCATGCTCTTATATTATTTATTGAAATTTTAATTATTTATTTAAATATTACAAAAGAAATTAAATTAAAATGGATAAAGTAGAATGGTGATTGATAAAAAATTCTTACCATCCATAGATGTGGATTTCATATTTTTATTAGTTACTCTGATATATATATATATATAAACAAACAAACAGACAAACTTGCTTCGGTTAACTCTGCCCATTTCAACTAGCTTCACCCCTTACTGTTTATCTTTTGATATTAATTTGACTCGTGGCTAATTATATAATAAATCCTTGAATCAGCTCTTAGAAATATTTCTGTGCCCAAATGAAACCTAAACTTCTAAATATTTTCGAATAAACTTTTTTTGGTCACAACCCCTTCTCATAGGATATAACCAAAAGCACGTTTTACACGAATATCAAAATATTATTTATATAAAATGCATTAGCAGCGTTTACATTCCTTAAAAATTTATATAAATTACGTACAATATAAGACTATAAAATATTTCATTATAATATTTAAAAATACGAATTATTAATCTCAAAATTGTTGATAATTCCAGAATTTAGCTTCGGGACCTCTCAAACCGCCGTCCAACAGTAGTATTCTCGTTATCTGAAATGGTTACAAGCAATGTGAAATTTACATACATCAATCAAGTTATTATTTATATTATTTTTTTATATATTTTTAACTGAATATAAATTGTTATAAAATAAAATTTAAAAATATATTATTTATTATTTTTGAAAATATATGTCTTATTTTTTATTTTATTAATCCTTTAATTTAAAATATTTTATATAATTAAAATTAATATATATATATATATATTCTAATAATTAAAATATATACACCCCACTGGGGTAAAGATCTAGTTATCCTACATCTTATTGGTCTATTTAAAGTTTTACTTTAACAAGCAATTAAGAGGTCACAAACAGTTACACAATAGTTTACGGGAACGACAGTGTTGGATCATGAATTTTAGCAAATAAAATATTATTCTACACAATCATTTACCTAATAGATGGGCACTTCTTTGCTGCAAATCACAAGAAGCTGTACATGCCACAAGGCAAATAGTACGAGAAATTTTCTTTTTTCAAATCAAATTTTTTCTCCTATCCTTTCAAGTTACAGAATGGAACACGGTGCACTGTCACTTTGAAATATAAATGCAGTTACATAAATAGAGAGCCTCTCTTCGCTGCACTTGGGGAGTACTACAACACATGGTATCTGTGACAATATCAACAACAAAAGGTTCCCGCAACAAGCAATCGCAGTGTTAGCAGTAGATTGTTTCCGAGCACCCTCTATCAATTTTTCATGGCAAATTGATCAGAGAAATTAAACCCACTCTCTTGACTCCTTCTACAACAGGGAAAAGACACGAACTCACGAGTGAAGAGCTGCAACCTTTTGAGATAACCCGTTGACCGTCTCATCACTAACCTCAGTGATTGATTCCTCTTGCTGCGGAAGAAGATAAATGTCATGTTAGCAAGATCTGGGTCTATTTATGCTATCTCATTTTATAAATAAACAACCAATTCCTCTTGCAAACAATATAATTCACACCCAGGCATTTCTAAACAACGAACTTGTTCATTATTTTTCTATTTTGTTTCTTGATTATCAGTTTAAATTGTTTTCTAGTTGATGTCCTAAGGGATTGCTCCACATAAACAGCATCCATTGTTTGGGAAGAATCAAGATATCCAATTAGATTCATAATGACAGTCTTGAGAATTACTTTAAAAGAATGAGTCTAAGACACCATGAGAAAAATCTCTACAAGTCATGGAAATCAAAAAGCTGAATCCCACAATTTGTTTAATTTTTCTAAAGAGACTTGAGGAATACAAGATTTTAATAGTTTTTTGTTGTTGGACTCGACAGCTCAAGTACAGGTGAAATCATCAGTAGATGCATAGAACTACTTTGTCAATTTCTTTTTATTTTAATGTTCTGAAATAGTAATTATTGGGCATAGGTCATATCCTTAAACCTAACTTTATATGGAGGAGTAGAGAACTTATATTATGAGAACTGAGATTTACCTCCGAATCCTTCCTTGGTTTCACAACAACACATTTGGAGGCACTAATGCTAGCACTTTTCAGAAGGCTGCGGGCGCTGTAGTTTGGCTTGCTAGGTCCATTTTCTCCCATGTTTGCATTCTCTGAACCATCAGAGTGTTGTGACTTTTTAGGACTTTGGAGTGTTGAAGCAACTGAAGCTGCGGTTCTTCTCTCAGTTTCATCAGCACTCTCATCCTTAGGGACACAAACCCTTTCTCTGAAGAAACAAACTTAAGATATCATCCACGTGGAAGCAGTATCTCAAACATGTAGCCATATTTATTGTGCAATAAAGCATTAAAAAACTTATTTAATTAGCTCTTGGTACTATCCAGTAATCAGAAGTCATGATGATGGCACATAAAACATACAGGAAGATGAACAAAGTTGAACCAAGTGGCACTATTTTGTGGCTTCAGATGGCATATAATATTAACACATTCACAAACTCTCGTCCAGTACATACCTAGGCAATGAGGCATGCTGTCTTTGAAGTGGGGTACTTCTTTCACCTTTACCATGATGCTCCTCAAGATGTGCAAATTGTCTCTTAAATCGATCAACACCACTGCAATGACAAAGTATAATGTTGGGTTACCAAACAAATAACTATACCAAGAAACATAGATCAAACATCTGTTGTCACTTTTCTGTTCTTATCTTAATATTTTCAGGAAGTTTTAATAGTAAACCAAAACCAAACTGATATGATTAAAAATAAATAAAAGCCAAGGCATCAAGTCAAGCAGTACAGAGGACCCAAGAAGTGAAGTAAATATATAAAGTTTTTTCACTTGGAAGCAAGACTCACGAAACGATTTAACACTTTCCTATATGATTCCAACTAGTAAAAATTGGGACGGCAGCGAAGGACAGAAAATGAACATCTGCAATATACATTCACCCAACACCCAATATGTAGTGGAATTAAACAACTATGACAATAGAGGCAATATAATACGCGGAGAGTACAGCACTCAGTCACAAAATAAAATTCAACTCAGACTATGAATTAACTGTCTGACCTTTTTTATCAATGAAAAAAGAAGTGCCTAACCTTGGGTACATGAAACTAGTCTGTTCTCCACCACGAAGATACTCCTGTAACATCTGGGGATGATATTCTAATATCTGTTCATTTAAAACCAGATGCCCATTAAACTTTATTGTAATGATAAAGGGTAAAATTAAAGGATATCAAAGTACCATGTCTAAATGCCATACCTCACGATAGATCAACTCTCTAACATCATCTTTTGCCAACTTTCTCCTCTCAAACTCAAACTCAAGTTTTGAAATAGGTTGAGTGGATGGTTCACGATCCACATTAGACAACCCATGAAAGTAAGGATCAGCCAATGCCTGCAAGAATAAGAGATATTAGAAAGCATCACAGATAAACTGACTTGGATGCAGACTTTTTTCATTCCAACTAGCTGTTTGTGTGCATGAACACCCAATATGCTTGACACAATGCCCTTAAATGTTATTAATTATATTGGAGGACTTGAGCATCAATATAGTTAAATCCAACCATTTTCAGATATCCTGTCTACTTCATATTATTATGCTTCAGAACCCCTCTCTTTTGGTCACTTTTTGAATAGAATCTGTATGTACCATGAAATATAACAATAACAATCATTCAAAAAAAATATTTAACAATAACAAATTTCACATTTACTGCATCCTACATCTTCAGCTGTTGGACGATCTTTAGGATCAAACGCAAGCAAACGTTCAAGCAGGCAGAGAGCCAATGGATCTGCATCCGGGAACTTTTGTGAAAATGGTATAGGCTGCTTTTTCCGCATGCTACTAAGATACCTCCTTGCCTTTTCATTCCGAATCTATCAATCAAAGATTAATTAATCATTAGAAGGCAAACTTTCTAAAAGCTAAGTATGGAGAATTAATTAACCCCTCCCCCCAAAAAAAGGACATATCAAGAACAGAGAAAAATTTAATGTCCAAGCAGAACATGTATCAGTTCAACTTATGAAAAAGAGAGGATAATCAAAAACAGTAGGTAAAGAAGGATTCAAAACCACATGAATTATAAATAAATTGATAACGGAAATGATAAACATAGATAACCAACCCTTGCAATTGATTCAGCTGAAGGAGTGCCAAGTATATCAGTCATGAGATCTAATTGGTGCACCACATTTTTCCCAGGAAACAATGGTTTTCCTGTAAGCATTTCTGCAAATATACATCCTATGCTCCATATATCAATTGCAGGTGTGTACTGCCAACATAAAGAATAAAATATCAGAGCTAGTGAATTTACTATTTGCAAGTCTAGAAAACAGAGTTCAGTGCTAAAAGAAATGAAATACAGACCAAAGAAATGAAATTCCAAACAGTAATCACAAAGGATTTAGCTGAGAACAAAAATACTAGCAACAATAAAGACACAAAAATAGAAATCAAAACACTGCAAGAGAGGAGGATTGCTAAAAAGCATAAACTAGGAACAATCTGTTATAATCTGGTTAGATCTCGATATGGATAACTATTTATTATATTCAGCAGGCCCAATAAGGCATGGTGGAAGATAACAGAGAGAAAATAGAGTTTAGAGTAAACCAAAATTCAAAGATGAAACAATAAATTGGCCAAACTATCTCCATAAAATAATAAGTTAACAGCATGCCCTATAGAGAATACAGAGTGCATACGCTTCAAACTTGAGAGGAAGCTACCAGCAATTCAATACAAAGTAGCTGAAATACAACCAGGACCTCGAAGCCTGTTCTTGCATCATGTAACATATGCGTAAGAAATGATACCTAATGTTGTGTCACTTCTAAGTGCCTATTTGACTGGATTTTTGCTTTTGCTTTTGCTTTTTATTGTTAAAAAGCAGAAGTCACCAAATACTCAAAACCATAGGTGCTTTTAGATAAAACATAATCTGTCTTTAGATCTTAATAAAGGTAAAATCAAAAGCTGAAAATGGATGCTTTTGACATATGGCTTGTGCTGTAAGAGGTATTTTAATGAGTAGATTAACGCCACATTTTACTAATTTATTAATTTAATATTTTTAACAAGAAATATAATAATTTATAACCAATAACTTATATTTATTATAAATTATCTAAACACACTCTGTTTTAGAATTAAATAACAATGGTTTAAAGTAAAATTTACACTGAACAAAATAAATAAAACAAATGAAAAAATATTTTAAGATAATGTAAATTACAAAGAGATATTTTAAGAAAAAAAATTTAAGATTTAAACAATTTTAATATTTATTTTTACGATTGCAATTCTTTTATCATTTCAACATTTATTATCAATTTTATAACATAACCAAGAAACATAATATCATATTTTATATTGGAAGCACTTTTTGAGTAAGATTCATCAAACATTATATTATTTCCACCTTAAAGTTACTTTTACCAAAGTCATCTCTAAATACTTTTAGCAACTCACAGCACAAACAATAACTGTGCCAAAAGAAGGTAAATGTTAATAACATCTAAGAGATCCTCATGCAAGTTGTTAAATATGCGGTAAACTATCAGAACAACATAAAGTTCAACTGTATTTAAGAATTTCTTGGAACACATTTCAAAACAAGGTGCACAGATCGATACCAGGAATGCTCCAAGAAAAAAATGGGGAAACTGCATAGAAGTAAATAAATAAAAAATAAAAGACCACCAGGAACTAGGAACAAACAGATATATTACTTTCACCAAGAAAACCACTAGCAACAATGGAAAAAAAGATCAAGTAATCAGAGGCAAAAGTAAGCATACTTTGGAGAAAAAAGAACCACAGAGTTCAGGTGCACGATACCATCGAGTAGCAACATAGTCCTTCATAAATAAAACGAGTAAACTGTTAGAAAGTAGTAAAAGTAGGATCAGTTCTTGTAACTTGAACATAATATATTTATATATGATACACTTAAAACATTTTTTAAAGTAAAAAATTTTAAGCAAACAACAGAAAATTTATGATTTATGTTAAAGGAGAACATACAGTCCAGAAAATGGCTGATGGCGCATCATTGAAAGATACTCGAGCAAGCCCAAAATCACATATCTTCAATTTGCAATCAGCATTAGCAAGAATGTTTTTTGGCTTTAAATCTCGGTGAAATACATTTGCTGCAAGAAAATTCAGAAATCAATTGATAGTTTATAAAGTAACAAAATGTAAGAATATTG